ATGGTACATGCTGATTGTCATAAAACCATATTAATGTTGGCTATTTACAAACTGCTTTTCTAGCGAGATCACTTACCGTACCTGTTTGTGTCAAGGGTTAGACGATAACTTATTCATGCAGTCAACAATTCTAGATCCTGCTTCATAACAACACTCATCTGTCATATGAGACTATTCTAAGTAGCTAGTGGTATCTGGAAGATGAAATACCAACAAGTTTTTGACCGTTATCAAACTACTAGAGGTTACACAACAATAATCAGAAAAATCATTTCTTGCACCATAAGATATACACTGTTAAATACTTATAGAACAATTTTCACTCTTCACTCGATACAAATAACTCATTTCATACTTTACTTTCTTGGTTGTGCTCCTCCTTCGATCTTCTTGGTGGGTGGCAAAGTGATAGTAAACAGAATCAATGTGTGAACCTGGCTTTATCATTTGTTGCATGTCAAGAAAGGAATCTATTGGCAACCCGCTGCAGTAATACCTCTTACATAGAAACCATCTCTAATCATGCACGGATTTTTACTGGAAATGCTTCATTCTTGAGCATATAAGCTCAACACACCTACCACTATTGCTGTGGTGACCAGATAAATTTGTGTTGTCAGCATAACATCGTGCAAGCTAGGATTTACTGTGTGTTCGGTATCAACAAAACATCCATACTCTAACGAACAGGCATGCTTTTCAACGGTCAATAATCTGCACCTTTTATTTTCTGCAGAGCTAATAAACCGGTAATATTATTCGTAGTAATACAAACTAGACTATCAAGTTTTACATTTCTTCTCTTTAAAGGTTACTACCATCTATTTGTACTTCATGAATACACCCTTGTGTTCTGTTGAACCGTAAAGACGATCAATACATCCGCTGCATTGCTGCCACTATTTTTGGTTCACAACTCGTAACAAAGCCTTTCATAATCAGATACCGATACTATAACATCAATTCAGCATCGGCTGCCTATCATTTACAGCAGAAATAACGAATAATAAATGAGATCACAAATACCCATGATCAATTTATAAACGGTAATAAACATAAAACACTATATGCGTCATCAGAATACTGA